AATTATTTCCAGTGCAGCCTCATAGGTCCAGTGCTGGGTGTCCAGGACCCCCAGTTAACCTCTTGGACCCCATGAATGTCTCAAAATCAACATTCAGAAGGGTCTCTATAAAGGAGCTTACTATGACGTTATGCTGTCCATTTGGGAAAAATAGACACTCAAATCCAGATTCAGTGGAGCTGATTGTTTATCTGCTTCACCCACAGTCAGCTTCTGTCTTTGGTGTTGTTAACTAACTAGAGCTGCAGCACTGCTCTGCCTCAGGGTGGCGCTGTAGCAGACTGGTTCACCCAGTTGGTCCTTCATAGCCTAGAAACTGTAACTCTGCCCGGATTCCTCTGAAAAACTTTACAATGAGCTGCAGCAGATCTGTAAATCTGAAAACTCGCCCAGTTTCCCAAGAGTTTGGAGTGAAGAGTGACTGTTCCTCATTTCTCACACTGAAGGCAGAAGAGGAGACGAGGAAGATCTCAGTTAATGTGAGGAAGAGTGCAGAACCGCACTAGAACAGAGACTCTACAGAAGAGGAGACGAGGAAGATCTCAGTTACTGTGAGGAAGAGCGCAGAACCGCACTTGAACAGAGACTCTACAGAAGAGGAGACGAGGAAGATCTCAGTTAGTGTGAGGAAGAGCGCAGAACCGCACTTGAACACAATACCTACATTTAGAGTCGGTTATTCATTCAGCCTAATGAGAAACTGTAGAACAGACTGAGTTTATATCACAATACCTACATTTAGGATCAGTTATTCATTCAGCCAACCATGTTGTTGTAGCTAATCAATACTAGGCAGGCTGACAAATTAGCCTCATGACAAAGAACTTCACCTGATGTATCCTAAGAATGTAAACCTTCAATTTTTCCATACAAAAAAATTGCATTTTGGAGCTACAGTGGAGGGGTTTCTGATAAAGTGGCCAGGAAGTGCATAATAATTCATATGTGCTGGTGGTCCTTTCGAATATACTGTCAAATAAGGTTAAAAGTCACATTGTGTACAGAGGCTGCCTCACATATCATTTAATATGCCGCAGTGATTAATAGTGTAATCTGTGGTTCTAAATGATTTCATTAGAAGTATTTTGTAAATCTGTGTTATTTAGTGCTGATGAAAGTGCGAACTGTGCTAATAAAGCGTTTGGGCTTGTTAGCAGCAGGTGCTTTTATCAGAGCGCTGTTAACCTGCAGACCGGAGAGAGAGAACATGCTGATTTTCGCGTCTGCTGACGGAGGAGTGCAGGGGTTATCTGTCTGGTTGTATTCCATACGGAGTGAACAGGTGCGTAAACAGCGCAGGGTTCTGTGTGCTGGATAATGTTGGGTAGAATAAGAGCCGTTTGTGTTTGTAATCGGAGCACACAGAGCTCCTCTACCAGCTGTCTGCTCAGGTGAGCCGAATTCATAATTAACCTGCAGCCGTGATGTCACTGACTGAGTGACTGAGTGACTGAGTGACGTCGGCTCCAAATACAGACTCAGATCAGTTAACCATTAAACTGCTGACTTATTATTCACACTCATTCAGCTTTTACTATGAATTTTTCAGTATCTATCATGAATTATTCAGTGTCTGCTATGAAGTATTATCTATCATGAGTTATTTAGTATCTACTATTAATTATTCAGTATCTGCTATGAATTATTCAGTATCTACTATGAAGTATTCAGTATCTGCTATGAATTATTCAGTATCTACTATGAATTATTCAGTATCTACTATGAATTATTCAGCATCTACTATGAATTATTCAGTATATACTATGAATTATTCAGTATCTACTATGAATTATTCAGTATGTACTATGAATTATTCAGTATCTACTATAACATATTCAGTATCTACTATGAATTGTTCAGTATCTACTATGAATTATTCAGTATCTACTATAAAATATTCAGTATCTACTATGAATTATTCAGTATCTACTATGAATTATTCAGCATCTACTATGAATTATTCAGTATATGTTATGAATTATTCAGTATCTACTATGAATTATTCAGTATGTACTATGAATTATTCAGTATCTGCTATGAAGTGCTCAGTATCTATTGTGAAGCATTCAGTATCTGCATCAATAATCACATTCATAAGCAACATTTATGTTGAAATCTAGCAGGTACAGTCAAGGATGTGAGATGTGGGGGTGCTGAGGGGACGGCAGGACCCCCAGATTTCAGGGGTGGCTAACTGCAACTGCTAAAAATAATAAAAAAGATGTAAACTTTGCAAGACATAGTAAATACCTATATCTGTATATATCTTTACTTTCCTTTAATTTTAGAAAGTAGAAGGATGTATTTCACTAAGAAAGTAAAAAACTCACCTGTATGTTTCGAGGCGCCATTTTAAACTCCTATAACTCGAGTTTAAAAGCTCTTAAATATAACAGCAGTGTTAAAATGTTTTGTGCTGTTCTGCATTTTAATACGTGTGAATACTCCAGAGTTGTGGACTTGAGTCAAATGACTTGGACTCAAGTCCGACTCGAGTTACGAATCTGATGACTTTAGATTCAACGCGAGAAAAGTTCAGGAAATGAATGAATTCTTTTACATTAAAAATGTTTAAAAATATATAAACTATGATTTTACTCAAATGCTCCATCTTAACCCATTCATTTTGGACTCGCTCGGGAGCGCCCTCTAGTGTTTGAGAAACCCGGAAGACACTACAGAGTGGAAATTCTCCTCTCTACAAGTTCTCCGACTCTGCACAACTTTGTTGCATCGCAGACTTCATGTAGCCAACGTTCGTGCTGCCTCCCACCGCTGGAAATCACAACGCTCATTGAAAATAAATCACCTCCAGCTGCTTTGTCACGTAGCTTCGCTGCCCGTGTGAACGCAGGGTCAGAGTGTGCATCAGCAGTGTGATGTGTTAGTCATAGGGTATATTGTCATTACCACGCTCTTTTTGATGCAAACCATCAGAAAAATTCAAGACAAATCATTTTGCATGACGTCACCATTCACATCACGCATATTCTGCTTCAAATTTCAATAAAACACCCTTAAAACCCTGCGTTGGTGGGTACAGTATGTCCTGGTGGCTGTATAAAGGCAGACAGTGTAACAGTGTCGCTGTCTTTAATATGATCTGAAATGTCAGAGCTGTCGTTCTTTGTGCTGTGAGAAATAGTGATGGGAGAGGCAGAGCGCTGATTTAAACCCACCCTGACTGACAGTCTGCGTGATTAATAAAACAGTAAAGGCGCTGGTCAGAGAGCTGCTGTGTTCTGATATTGGAGCTGAAGCTGTGGAGTTTCGCTTTGATTCGGTGATTCTACACTAAACTGATGACTCTCATCAGACCGGCTTACGTTTGACCAAACCGTACGGCTACACTGACCTGATCTGGACACTTCAACACCAATAACTCATGGAGGAAAGTTTTATATAATAAAGTAACGGACAGCAGCCAGTCAGAATAACTGCATGTTAAATTGAACCCTGGGATAATATGATGAGGTTGTTTTGGTGTTTTGGTCAATTACAATTACAGAGTATTTACATGATGCAGTCACACGTACCATATGCTGTTATTTTCATGAGAACCTGAGATCCTGAGATATGCCATTATTTCATATGTAAATGCCAAGAGAGTTTTAATTTTGAGGGCGCGTTCACACCTGCCTTGGTGTGGACTTCACACCTTTTTCTTTAGTTCACTGCATTTTAATATGTGTGAATACTCCAGAGGTGTGGACTCGAGTCAAATGACTTGGACTCAAGTCCAACTCGAGTTACGAATCTGATGACTTTAGATTCAACTCGAGAAAATCGAGAAAGACTTGCAACTTGACTTCAACACCAGTGACTCGGACTCCGACTCGGACTTCAGCCTTATGACTCAGTAGGACTCGAGACACAAAGGGAAAGAAACATGGAGAATCGGACTGCAGATGGCTACATAGTCGGTTACTTTTCATCTGAATGGATCTGTAAATCTGATCTACAGCAGTGTCGTCAGATGTCTGTCCTTGTGTTTATACTCAGCTTATTTTATGTCAGAAGACGAGTGAAGAGTTAGAGCTCAAGTTCGCCTCCATAAGCTGGATCAATGCGTCACTCAGCTCTTAAACTCTTACTGGAGAAACTCACCAGGCGAACTGACCATTTTCCTCTGTTCAGCTGATTTTAACAGCTTCTGCAGGTAAAACAAGCACAACATTCACCACGAGGCTGAAGTTGACTTTTTATTCGCCAGCTTCTTATTCGAATTTGCCGTTCCACCTTAAATGGTGCAGCAGTGAGGCACCGGAATGTAACTGCTGCACCATTTAAGGTGGAACGGAATATTCAAATAAGAAGCTGCTGGCAAAAAAAAGTCATACATTCACCATCATTTTGCTCTTTCCTGTAAACTTTGCTCAGTTCGGTTGTTTTAGTTTCTGTTGTCGTCTTAATTCTTATTATAGTTTTTAGTTTGCTGAGCTAATTTTAGTGCTGAGCTAGTTTTTGTTTTAATTGTGCGCCCAATGTTCTCAAAGTTCAGTAGTACTTTCAAAATTCTGGTCATGTGTAGTTGCACTACTCTTCGTGTACACAGTATGCCTGCCATGGTTAACTGTGTACCATGGATTTTGTATTTTAGTTGGAAGGGTAAAAAATATTAGAATAATAAAAAATTATATGCAGCCATACTCTGCTAACGTACTGTCATTAAAAGGCTACAGTACTGTTAGCGTTATTCAGTGTTAGGGTCTTAAATTAGCTGAAGAATGCAGACTGACTTGTTTAGGACTCGAAGATTAGGACTTTTGACTTGGGACTCGACTTGAGACTCGCCTTCACTGACTCAGGACTTGAATCGAGACTCGACTATCTTGAATCGGGACTTGAGTGTCAAGTGAGACTTGCAACTCAGTGACTTGGAACTTTAGAATACTCCACCCGTATGGTGGACCGTATGAGAACACGCTGGACTGCAGCTCTGTTTCAGCAGGAATTCGGTTGATATGAGAAGTTAACTGTTGTTTTCTTTATTTTTGCAGGTATTCCAAGCAACCTTGGCACAGCAGGTGAGTGACTTTAATGAAGTATCAGAACACTGGTAAAAAAAAATCCCATTAACCCAAAGAGTTTATATCACAATACCTACATTTAGAGTCAGTTATTCATTCAGCCTAATGAGAAACTGTAGAACAGACTGAGTTTATATCACAATACCTACATTTAGAGTCGGTTATTCATTCAGCCTAATGAGAAACTGTAGAACAGACTCAGTTTATATCACAATACCTACATTTAGAGTCAGTTATTCATTCAGCCTAATGAGAAACTGTAGAACAGACTCGGTTTATATCACAATACCTACATTTAGAGTCAGTTATTCATTCAGCCTAATGAGAAACTGTAGAACAGACTCAGTTTATATCACAATACCTACATTTAGAGTCAGTTATTCATTCAGCCTAATGAGAAACTGTAGAACAGACTCAGTTTATATCACAATACCTACATTTAGAGCCGGTTATTCATTCAGCCTAATGAGAAACTGTAGAACAGACTCAGTTTATATCACAATACCTACATTTAGAGTCGGTTATTCATTCAGCCTAATGAGAAACTGTAGAACAGACTCAGTTTATATCACAATACCTACATTTAGAGTCGGTTATTCATTCAGCCTAATGAGAAACTGTAGAACAGACTCAGTTTATATCACAATACCTACATTTATTGTACTGTATTTAATATGTATTTGTTCATCTTCACGCAGTTCGACCAAATGTTTCCTCTCTTGGAGTGGCCAATCGAAACCAAGGTAAGACATCAAATCAGACTGAGCAGCTGTTTATCTCTCATATTGAAGAGCAGGACGTTATCGTCTCTAACATAATAGAAACTCTATTTAAAAATCAAAACAAGTTAAGAGTTTTGGATGTAGTGATGCAGGTTTGAGAATGCTTCACGAAAATATCACTGCCCTTCAACACAGACAGACAGACAGACAGACAGACAGACAGACCTCCTCAGTCAGAAACAGCCTCAGATCTCTGTAGCTCACAGCAGCTTCCAACAATCTGAGCACACTTTAATTCTCCTCTACATTTAATTAGACGCTTATACAGAGAGAGAGAGAGAGAGAGAGAGAGAGAGAGATCAGAAAGGAAAAGGGTGGGAGAGAGAGAAGAAAGGAAATAGGAGAGAAAGAAAAGGAGAGAGGGAGAAGAAAGGAAATAGGAGGGAGAGCAAAAAGAAAGGAAATAGGAGAGAAAGAGAGGGAGAAGGAAAATAGAGAGAAACAGAAGCAAAGGGAGGGAGAGAGAAAGAGAGATCAGAAAGGAAAAGGGAGGGAGAGAGAGAAGAAAGGAAAAGGGAGTGAGAGAAAAAAAGGAAATAGAGAAAGAGTGAAAGAGAGAAGGAGAGACAGAGGGACAAAGAGGGAGAGCAAGAGGGGGAGAGAGCGGAAAGGAAAACAGAAATAGAGAGAAGGAAGAAAGGAAATGAGAGAGAAAGAAGGAGATCGAGGGAGAGAGCAGAAAAGAAGAGAGAGAGAGAGAGAGAGAGAGAGAGAGAGAGACAGAGAGGGAGAGAGAGAGACAGAGAAGGAGAAAGGAAAAGAGAGAGAGATAGAGAGCAGAAAGGAAAAGAGAGAGAGAGAGAGCAGAAAGGAAAAGAGAGAGAGAGAGAAGAAAGGAAATAGGAGAGAAAAAGAGAGACAGAGAGAGAGGGAGAACAAAAGAAAGGGGAGAGAGAGACAGAGGGACAAAGAGAGAGAGAGAGAGAGGGAAGAAAGGAAAAGAGAGAGGGAAGAAAGGAAAGAGAAAGGAAAATGGAGAGTGTCAGTTTTTGCAGAGGCCACATTTTATTTTTAACTTATATATTTACATATTTATTCATTTCATTTATATTTATTCACCACATAAACAGTAACTGTGTATATAATGTGCAGCAGTGAGTTCCCTGTAGAGGATAATACAGTATACACATACTACACTGTGACTGCGCTGGGTTACTGCACAGTTTGGGCTTCAGTGCTAATTAGTGCAGTATAAGCTTCTATTACCAGTTAGCTACATTAGCCTCGTAGCTCCGGTGCTAAAACTAAAGAAGGAAGCTTCAGACACCGAACACGACCTGACTGGGGAGTCTGGAATTTGATCACTGTAGTTTTAAGTTTGCACACTGCTGCATATGTTGTGGTTTGATGCTGATATGCTCATCAACCAGTATGACCACGCTGGGCTGACCAGCTAAACCAGCATAGACCAGCTTAGTCCAGCATGGAATTCTTGCTGGTCTGTGCTGCTTTTTTCAGCAGGGCTCTCAGTAACGAGGCTAAGAATCTCTCAGTTTGGAGCACCGCTGTCTGAACATATTACAGCCGGTTAAATAACCTCTATGGTAACAAACGGCGTTAAATGCTAAATAAACGACAGAGCCCACATTAGCCTCAGCTCCGGCCCACTGTTATTTTCGGTCAGGGCTGAATAATGACCGGCCTGCAGGCAGTCTCATAAGGCTCAAACCAAACCTGGCATGCAATTCACTGCAGTAGGTGAGACATCTCAGGTAATAAAGCCGGCACCTTAGGCTAGCCTTAGCCTTAGCTAAGCACTTTCACACGCAATATCTCTGCCTGCTGACAAGCCTCGGCCTCACAGCCGGTCAGCAAACACACACAACGCTGTTCAAAAGTTTGGAGTCAGTCGTGATATTAAAGGGGATTTTTCCAAAAGTTTTCCATAATTCAGTGTTTGAGGTGTAAACAAAGTCATTGAGTGGTTTTAGTGTGAAATGGTTCATTGTAGAGGCCAGAGTGGGTAACGCAGACCAGCCCACCTTAAACAGACCAGCCCACCTTAAACTCCAATTGCATTTCTCCTGCTACACACACAGCAACATGACTTGCCAACACTTTATATGAATTCCATGTCTATGAGCATCTATAAACACATCCATAACATGTTATAATGCATTCATAAGGCATTATAAACATGGCTATAAATATTTATAAAAATGAATTTGTTGACCAGCCTCCACCCAGTTCATAACAAACAACTGAGGGAGACAGCGAGAGGAAAAAACTGTCTTTATTTTCACATTAAACTATTTAAAAATGGTTTGCAAACCACAAAGACAGCACTACTGAAGTGGGCCAACGTTTAATGGTTAAAGCCCACCCCCACAAAGCCCACTCGCTGGATCCCTAAGGTGGCTGGAAAATGAACCTGCCGCGAAGAGAGACAAAGAAAACAGGCTCCCAGCTCTCCACACTGGGAAGCCTTTACAAGAGACCCAAACACCTAAGCGCCAGTGTGTCTCAGTAGCCAATTAGGTCCAAGCTCCGCCTCCCAATTTCACCTGCATCACGCACAGGGAAAAAAACAGGCAGCCTAGAGGGTCATCACAAATTAACTTTATAGCCATGTTTTATTATGTTTTATGAATTGTTCACATAATGCATTATAAGCAGTGTAAGTAACATGCTACATTATCAGTGCCAAAGAAGTCAGTCAGTAACGTGATGAGTAACACTGTATGAGTTACAATCAGCAAACCAGGTCAGAACCACTTGAGGAGGGAGGACTCCTCCAGCCCAAAACATTACCAGCCCACTGAGAATTCTCCCGACTCTCTGAATTACCCACTCTGGCATTGGTGCACAAATATACACACAAATTATTTACGATCCAAAACCACCAGTGAGCCTACATGTGTCCTCTGAGTTTATATGGAATGTTGATGATGGAAAATAGTGGAAAATCTGAAATAATAAGTTTTCTTTGGGGACTATTTTGCCTCTTAACACCCTGCATGTATCCCTCCACCATAAATGGAGTATAAAGCCAAAATCTTCTCAAAACTATCGTAAAACAGTGTCTCAGATATCAGGCAGTGTATGCACACATTAGATACACACCGATCAGGCATAACGTTATGACCACCTCCTTGTTTCTATGCTCATTGTCCATTTTATCAGCTCCACTTACTATATAGGTGCACTTTGTAGTTCTACAGTTACAGACTGTAGTCCATCTGTTTCTCTGATACTTTGTTAGCCCCCTTTTACCCTGTTCTTCAGTGGTCAGGACCCCCATGGACCCTCACAGAGCAGGTACTATTTGGGTGGTGGATCATTCTCAGCACTGCAGTAACACTGACGTGGTGGTGGTGTGTTAGTGTGTGTTGCGCTGGTCGGAGTGGATCAGACACAGCAGTGCTGTGCACTCATAGTGCACCTATATAGTAAGTGGAGCTAATAAAATGGACAATGAGCGTAGAAACAAGGAGGTGGTCATAATGTTATGCCTGATCGATGTGTATGTATATATATATATATATATATATATATATATATATATATATATATATATATATATATATATATATATTCCAGATTTTATGTTATGAATAGAAGATGTACAAGATGTCACTCTGTGTGCAGGTATAGATTAGCTAGATCGAAGTGACAGTAACATCAGAGTGAGTGTGTCTGGGGTGTGGATGTGGTTTGGATTGTCCATAGAGATCATGATGATGATGATTACAGTGGTGGTTATAGGAACCAGGGGTCGCCATGACTACAACACAGATATAGACATTTTATCAACTGTCCAAAACCACCAGTGAACCTACACGTGTCGTCTGAGTTCTAGCCTTTTGTGCAGTACTGTAGCTCTGAGCGTGTGCAGTGTGCTACTCATGTTAGCGTGTAAGAGAGCGCAGGCACGTGCTGGAGGTGAGATGCTGGTGTGATGTTGTGTGATGTGTCTCAGAGGGAGCTGCAGCTCTGGAGCACGAGTCACACTTCAGCCTCTTCTGGAGGGAAACACACGAGACAGTGCAAATGCAATCAATGCTGCCGGGCACTGCTTATGGCAGATGACCTTGCACATCAGGCAGGGAGCTTCAGTCACAAAGATAAAGACCAAAACAGACTCAAAGACAGCGGGTGGTCTTGGGTTCAGAAATGTAGGGAGGCTGTAAAGCTTCTTACAGACCTTTGAAATCGTCCATCATTCTTTAGTCCGCATTTTGCCTATATTACAATATCCAGGGCTGCATTCAGTCCCAACAAACGTAGCACAATATTTCTTTGAACAGAAATCAGATTATTGAGTGTTAACACACTGAACCAGTTACTGACACAATCTGATTTACTGCAGTTATCAGATTATTAAGTGTAAATACACTGAACCAGTTACTGACACAATCTGATTTACTGCAGTTATCAGATTATTAAGTGTAAATACACTGAACCAGTTACTGACACAATCTGATTTACCGCAGTTATCAGGTTATTAAGTGTAAATACACTGAACCAGTTACTGACATAATCTGATTTACCGCAGTTATCAGGTTATTAAGTGTAAATACACTGAACCAGTTACTGACACAATCTGATTTACCGCAGTTATCAGGTTATTAAGTGTAAATACACTGAACCAGTTACTGACACAATCTGATTTACCGCAGTTATCAGGTTATTAAGTGTAAATACACTGAACCAGTTACTGACACAATCTGATTTACTGCAGTTATTGGATTATTAAGTGTAAATACACTGAACCAGTTACTGACATAATCTGATTTACCGCAGTTATCATATTATGAAGTGTAAATACACTGAACCAGTTACTGACACAATCAGATTTTCTGAAGTTATCATATTATGAAGTGTAAACACACTGAACCAGTTACTGACACAATCTGATTTACTGCAGTTATCAGATTATTAAGTGTAAATACACTGAACCAGTTACTGACACAATCAGATTTTCTGAAGTTATCATATTATGAAGTGTAAACACACTGAACCAGTTACTGACACAATCTGATTTACTGCAGTTATCAGATTAAGTGTAAATACACTGAACCAGTTACTGACACAATCTGATTTTCTGAAGTTATCAGATTATTAACTGTAAATACACTGAACCAGTTACTGACACTGATTTCCATTCTATAGGCAACTTGGCCACTAGAGGGCGCTGCAGAGAGAGGCTACAAAACATCCACATAACATAAATGTTCTAGAATCAAGCCTTCAACTGCAATAGAATTATTTCAATATGTGAAGGATTTTTCAGCCTTCAGAGGGTTAAATCTTTTAAAACATGGTTCTTTAGGGAACCAAAAGTAGTTCAAGCATGCAAATAATGCTGCATTGCTGCATGCATGCAGTGGAAAGCGCACAGCAGACGAACGGGAGCTGTGCTTTATTCTGTCTTACCAGGCTGCTCCTGCTGCAGTAAGAAAAGAAGGAAAGAAAGGGAAGCTAATCTGGGGTGCAGATGCTGCCGGAAAGACAATGGCGCTGAGGGTCTTCTGGAGGCCATTCAGCACCACAGCTAATCCCACACACGCTCCAACAAAGTAAACTCCACAAGGCTGGAGATTAAAAGTTTGAATCCAAACGAAAATCTACCAAGAGCCGCCGCTCAGAGGAAAAATCCCAAACTCTCCGAGCATCTGCCGGAGCGAGCATGCGACTCTCAGAGAGAGAAGACAAACAACAACAACAACAACAAACAGTTCAGTCTGAGTCTCAGTTTAATATCAGAGATTTCTAATCATGTATTCTGCATTTGTTGATTTTACAGAGCGCTAAAAATAATGGATCATGTTTAAGCAGTAGAACAGTGGAGGTTGTGCATTACATTTGGTCACAGTAGATCATCCTCGCTGGGGTTTTATTCACCATAACAGACCGCCCCCAGAGTTCTACTGCTTTTATGCAGTGATTTTGAAAAGGAAAATAACAAATTAAGCAAATAAACCTCAAATATTTGTTTCACATGTATATTAATATTAATATTCTGCCAAAAAAAGTAGTTCCAACAGCTTGGAGTAAAGAGATCATAGTTGCTTAGCAACCAATATTGAGTGGAATGATACGGGAACGGTTAAGCCGAGCATTGAGGCTATTTAAGACCTATTTAACAGTAACTAAGGGGCAGTTTTTCTGTGGTGAGATCTTCAAAGCCTGGACTACCAGAAAGCAAGATAGCTAATGATCTAATTTGGCCTCTCAGAGCTTGTACTCTAATAGTTGCATACAGGAAACAACAGCAACAAAAAGACAATTATATTGTTAATTGCAATTATGTTTGTCAATTAATCATCAGCTAAAATGTCATGATTGTGACAGACCTAGGAATGAGCGCATGGGTGGAACTAACTATTGTATAAAATGTGCATTTCTAATAATAAATAATGAAATCATGAATAGCGTTCAGGTCAAAAATACCTTTAAAATATTAAGTGCTTTTTGATTATTTTTGCCTTGCTCACAAATAATTTCTTCAGGGTCAAGAATCTGACAATTGATGATAATACAGGTGAGGGGAATCATATAAAAGGAAAATAGAGGCGGCCCAAAGATAGACCCTTGTGGTACACCACAGCAAATGTCATACAAGTTCACCAACAATAACAAAATACTGTGTATCAGTTACACACAAAAAAAACACTTTTTCAGACCGTCCAAGAAATCCTTGAGTATTTTTGATTATTATAGGTGATAATATAGGTGAGCAGAGTCATGTAAAAGGAAAACAGAAGAGACCCAAAGATAGACCCCTGTGGTACACCACAGTGAATGTCATACAAGTTTGCCAATGGCAACAAAACACTGTGTATCTGTTAGACATTAAAACATTCATGACCTTTCCAGTCAGTCCAAGAAATCCTTGAGTATTTTTGATTATTTTTACTCACAAAATATTTCTTCATGGTCAGGAATCTAACAATTGATGATGAAATAGGTGAGGGGAATCATATAAAAGGAAAATGAAAGTGGCCCAAGGATTGACCCTTATGGTACACCACAGTGAATATCATACACAGTGGATGTCATACAAGGTCGCTAATGGTAACAAAGCACTATGTATCTGTTAGACATAAAAACATTCATGACTTTTCCAGACAGTCCAAGAAATCCTTGAGTATTTTTGCCCCATTTGCTCAAAAAGCATTTCTTCAGGGACGTTTTAAAGGAGATTCATCACAAGACACAAAGCAGCGTGAAATTAAACTCAATCTAATAAACAAACAGGCCTTCTCCTCCTCTCCCTAAGGTAATACATTCCTGCATAATGGAGGTGAATACAATGCAACGGCAATCAGTTTCCTTTATGGAAGCATGTTTACATGATCTGCACTAGGTGAATGAAGGTGACGTGGGCATGAATGCCATTCTCTTTCATTCTCTTTCATTCTTTCATTGTAAAATGTCAGGTCATACATACATATTGCACATTTCCCCCAACTGAAAAAACATGGTCACTTTTTCCATGTTTTGAAATGCAGAAACACTGAATACAAACCCAGAAATACATAATATAGAGGCAGAGTATATTTATATATATTGTTCATTATAAGCAAGCACCTGTACTGAGCATAAATGGGTGCATTCGCGTATAGTCTTACACATTGAGTTACGTCAGGTTTCATCTGCTACAACCTTGGGAAAAGTTGCTGAAAGGTTCATAAACAAATAGTTTTTTCAATATTATTTGTTGGATGGCAAAATGACCTCTGCGGTCTGGTTTGCATATCAAAAGGGCCGACGCTGTGGAGTTCTCAGTGGGAGGGTTCTCAGTGTGTGTTTATGAAAGAGCCTGTGGCCAGGAGAGGAAATTTTGTTTTCAATTTTCTTCTCATATTGCAGACATTTTGACAATCTGCATCCGAAAACCCCACAATTCATTCTTGTTATTGGTCTCAGCACTGCAGCATTAGCTTCTGTTTACCTTTTGGACCTGAAACCCCCTGGCAGGAATAGCTTGGTGACAAAACTCAAATTTCCCCCTGTAACCCCAAACGTAGTTGATCGTGTTTGGTGTCTGAAGTTTACTTCTCTTTTGCACTTTGAGCTACGAGGCTAATGTAGCTAACAAGTAATGGAGTAACCAGACCAATTACCAAAGTGCTAATTCATCACATGCTTGCCACGCTGGCTAGAGCTCTTCAGTGTCCCTAATAGACTTGATTGTGTAGTTTCTGACACTGTATGACTCACTGTTCTCTATAAACATGGACTAAAGTACGTTAGCATAGCTAAAAACAGTGGCAGCCATCTTGAAGTCTAAATTGTGTCCATTCTTTTGTCCATTTTTAATTGCTGCCAAAACTGGAGGTTTGTTTTTATTCAAAGTCCTCTCTTAGTATCATTGTCCATATTAGACTCAAAACTGTGGTCGGGGGGGAGAGAATAAATTTCAAATTATGCACTTTTTTTAAAATTTAACATAATTTGCCAAACTTCCTGTTTTGCTTGTTAGTTTTATCCTCCATGCAGCAAAGCAAGAAGAATTTTAATTTAGTTTTTACTTATTTTCAAGAAGTTGTTGTTCATACAGTTTTGATAATATAGCTCTATAAGGAAAACAAAAAAGGGCCAAGAATGGACCCTTGTGGTACACCACAGTGAATGTTATACCTGTCATATATGAATTTGCAAAGGGTAATAAAATACAGTTAGAACTTTTACCATGGCTTTTTTCTTTAGTGCACTCTTTCTCTTGTGTAGCCTGTTGGACAGTCATTTTATACATTTATCTGCATCCATGTTTGTTTACATGACTGAAAACTTTACATTTTTGAATAGCATTTCCAGACTTTTGAACAGAAGTGTAAATCTAATTTTCCTTGTTTCCCCGCAGCTCGAGTCTGTGATAACGTCCTCCTGCGCTGTCAGAACGGAGGTGTTTGTCACCAACACCAGCGCTGCCAGTGTCCAGCGGGTTTCTCTGGGGTTCTGTGCGAACGGGTCCAGTGCCAGGGTGAATCCTGCCAGGATCTTAACTCTGGCCAGGCCAGCCACAGCCTCCAGTCCAGTGGTCAGTTTCTGGTCATTCTGCTGGTGTTTGTTTTCTCCATGCTGGACACCTGGGATCTATCATCACTCTGAGTAAATAAAAGTGACGGTCATCGTGAGCAGCAACAGTAAGAATGAACTGAGAATTGTGAGCCATTTGGGTTGGTATGCTGGTCTCGTTGGACTTTTATACTGAGCCACCAGCCTCCACTGAGCCAGAATGATCAGCCAACTGACCTCTCCAAGCTTTGGCCACAAACAAGTTCTTTTATAGCAACTGTTGTGAGGTTGGATACGCTTTACAGACCACTGGTAAAAACCCCATTCAAGCTGATGAGAAACAAGTCTTTGTCAAAGAGCCTACAATTTGAGTGCGCTATTAAGGGTTAATTGTGCTTTTAACATTGTTAGCTGTCTAAGCCTCTTTATCTCTCTCAGTCGCTGTCTCTGAGTAGCTTGACCTGCAACATTTTTGTGTGTTTTCTGATCTGCAATGTGGGTGTATATACTGTACCATGCAAAAGTCAGAGACCACCCTTTCTTTTATTTTATTTGTAATCAAAACAGCCATTTATTACAAGGTATTGATCTTCAGAAGAAATTTATGAGGATATTAGATATAAGATAATCCACAAAGTGAAAAAAAAAACAGAAAATCTGACTCCTAACAACCACCTGGAAGACCTAGTAGACCCCAAAACTGCCCCCGTCAGATAAACAGCACTTAAAGCTTTCATCTCTGAGAGAGAGGAGAAAATCAAGCTGCTTCAGATCTGAAAACATCCACAGGTGTTTCTGTCCATCCTTCCACTGTGAGAAGACGACTCAGCGCTGTGGGTCTGAAACGATGTGTAGCTGATCAAGAAGAACCTCACTGAGAAAAGGAGACGGACACATCAAACAAAGAATCTGAACAACGGACTGACCACCCCAGAGTCCAGACCTCAACACCACTGAATGTGTTTGATTACTTCAGAAAATGATCAACCAGCTTCTAAGACTGAACTTTGGAGGTGTGTCTGCAGATTCTTTGGGGAACTGAAAGTGAGTCTCCTGAATAGAGGTAAAGAGTGACTCACTGACTCACACAGCTGAGCCGATGAGGCATCTGTGTATTATCTTGTTAAATATATGCTGTATGAAAAATGAATCGCTTGAATAAATGAAGGGTGGTCTCTTTTGCACAGTACTGCCTTCTTTGCTTTAAAGGGTTCTACTCAGTTGGAAAACGTGCTGCATTAGTCTGAGTGGGTGTTTCTACCAGCGTTCTGTAAAACTTCAACTTCACAACCCAGCTACGAATGCATAATTTGTGGGCGGAGCCTGGATGGGACAATATGCATTCACTGCAACCAGGCTGAGTATGTCGCATGGTTTTGTTAGCTTCGGAGGAACGGGTTCTGTGAACTGGAACTTTCCAATTTCAGAGCCAGACACTGAGGTGGGGGGCTGTATTGGCTTGAATTCAACAGCCCCCCTAGTTGGTAATCTGGGCAGCACCTTAGTGGGCTGGTTTCAGTTAACATGGACCTTCTCTTTCCATTCTTACTGTGGCTGCATCTACAGAGACTCACCATGGGAGCTTTCAGCCTGACCTCCAGTGAACGGACTAAAGGACAGCTAAGGACGAATGCTGCCTAGCTCTGAAAAAAAAAACAATAAAACATATTTAAATATTTACTGACTTGAAAGGCAACCCACTGAGAAGTTTTCTACCCATGGTGTCAGCTGAGAGCGTGCCTGCGCCGGAGGACGGGTGAAGAAACAACCGAAACAACACAGGAGATTTCAGCAGCGCTGACGTGGGTGACTGTCAGGCTTCTTTTTAGACTGAACAACAAATGTTGACACTGTTCTACAGACAAGAAAGAGATTCACCGTGTATTCCTGAGACACTACAATGCATCGTTTTTGGACCGACACTGAAAAACGAAAACAAACTTTACTCACAGACTGAGAAGATAAACAGACACATCCTTACCCGACCAGAGCCTGAGACCAGTTTAGGTTCATTTGAATTAAACCTGCTTCACTTTCCCCAAAACGCTTCCACTTGGAACGGTACATGTGACGAAAGCTGAGGTTAGCTTCTCATTCGGGTTTTCTGTTCCACCTTAAATGGTGCAGCGAATACATGCTGGATCTTATTTACCAGCTTTTCATTCAGATTTCTGTTCCACCTTAAGAACAAACAAAAAAACAAAACAGTACAGAATAACACCACAAAATGACCAGGCTAATGTTGACTTTCTTATGCGCCAGCTTCTTAGATGAACCAGATTACCACTTTGTAATGTCTTCTAGGTTTCTCAAACACTAGAGGGCGCTCCCGAGCCAGTCCAAAATGAATGGGTTAAGATGGAGCATTTGAGTAAAATCATAGTTTATAAATGCTTAAACATTATTAATGTAAAAGAATTCATTCATTTCCTGAACACAGAACAGCATAAAACATTTTAACACTGCTGTTATAGTTTTAGGAGCTTTTATTATATAGGATTGTATAGTTATAGGAGTTTAAAATGGCGCCTCATCTATATTCATGTTGTCAGTGAGTGCGAACAGCCAATGAGCTGCTCCGCTCACCAACCAATCAGCACTCAGTAGCAGTAATGTTAGCATCCTGCTGCCCAAAACCCGTTTGCTGTAGAAAAACTGTGCTTTTTTAGTGAAATCCATCCTTCTACTTTCTAAAATTGAAGGAAAGTTCTGGGCGAGAGATTAGAAATTATTTTACCTTTTCATTTTTAGCCGTTTTACTGCATTCACCCCCAGTAATTGAGGACTCGCTCACGGGCTCCCTCTGCTGTTTTGCAGTCATGTTTTTGATATAACGGGGGAAATAGGAAGTGGCCAGACTCCTCATAAACCGGCTCTGGTTGAGTATTCCATTCCACCTTAAATGGTGCAGAAGTTACATTCTGGCGCCTGTTTAAGGTGGAATGTAAAAGTTCCAATAAAAACCTCACAAACAAGAGCCAGAATGCTGCACCATTTAAGGTGGAACAGAAAACTCGAATAAGCCAACTTCCACTTTGTCATTTTGTGTTTGTGTATTGTTTCGTTTTTGTTTTTAAATGTTGCAGATGTTTTGGTAACACTTTATTCTGATGGTCCACTGTAGATGCGTTGCAGATTCGGAATAGAAACCTCCTAAACGGTCACCAACCCTAAACACGACACTCACTCTGAAGGCCTAGTTGTTTGTGCAATTTATTTAGATGTAAATAAATTTATTGGAATGTATGTGTTTGTATAACTGATTATATATCTTGCACACCAAACGTGAAATGGCAACGAGCCCGACCAATCACCGTCATCTTTGTGACAACCCAGATTATAATATTTAACATAATAATATAACATAAATTTTCTTTGGGGACTATTTTACCTCACAACACCCTGCATGGATCCCTCCACCATGAATGAATTGTAAGGCTAAAATCTTCTCAAAACTATCATAAAACAGTGTCTCAGTCATCAGGCAGTGAATTCATAACCATTTCATGTAGGAACTTTCTGTGAGGGAGCTTTTAGAGGTGGACGTCTGGTTCCTATCACCACCACTGTGAACAGTTCTGACTCTGTAGGTTTATCTAGAACAGAGCGTTTCACACCAAACCACTCTGAACCTCTCTGAACCACTCTGAACCTCTCTGTTTACATCTTTAATTATACAGGGATTTTGGTATTTCTGTGGAATTCCCTGTTAAAAACATGACAAAATCACTTTTTCAGTGTTTAAAAAGTGCATTGAACATGATGTGAAGTTTCCACTGCGTTAAAATCACAATTCCTGTGTGAACAGAGATTCATCCACTGAGGTTCACTAGTTTGTTTATTGGTTTGGGCACCTGTAGATCACATATAGAGGACCATGAAAATAAAGTGTGATTGATTGTGCAGGTTTTGATTAAATGCCTTTCAGTGTAAGATTGTTTATTCCTAAATCTTCAGTTCTAAACTCAAACAAGCAGAAACAGATCATTAAGCATTGTAATATATTAAGATGTGGATTTTCTGAGTGGAAGTCAGTCGGGGAAGTGAGCAGGTGTTGGATTGGAATTAGGCTCCACCCACTAAGCTCTCACACTCTGATCCTGACCAGCCATCCCTCTGAACCTGGGTGTGTGTGTGTGTGTGTGTGTGTGTGTGTGTGTGTGTGTGAAGTAACCCCACATCCTGTGTGGTCAGTTTGGGTCGATGTTCACCACACGAGTGCTGACCCAGATCATCTGTACTACTCAGACAGATTTCTGACTTCCAGTAAAACAGAGTCACATACTGCAAAATTATATCGGTAAGTAAAGTCATCTTCATTCAAGTCAATATATCTAATATTTCTCATTATGGAATTATTAGAGTGATATAAGATTTTTCATCCTATTTCTAGACGTTTTAGCTTTAAGTAATTTTATCTAGTGATTATTATATCGGCATTATTTCTCAAAACAAGCAAAATTATCCACATTATTTATAAAAACAAGCAAAATTATCTGTATTATTCACCAAAACAAGCAAAATATTCTAGATTATTTCTCAGAACAGCAACATTATCCACATTATTTATCAAAAAAAGCTGAATATTCTAGATTATTTCTCAAAACAAGCAAAATTATCTGGATTATTTCTCAAAATAAGCAACATTTATCCACATTATTCATCAAAACCATCAGAATTTTATTGAATTTTTCTCAAAACAAACTAAATTATCTGGATTATTTCTTTAAATAAAGCAACATTATTAAAACAAGTAAAATATTCTGGATTATTTCTCAAAATAAGCAACATTATCTGTATAATTTCTGAAAACGCGCTAAATTCTCTGGATTATTCATAAAAACAAGCAAAATACCTAAATATCTCTTAAAACAACCTAAAATACCTACAGTTTTACTCAAACCAAAGACTTGATTATATCTCAAAATACGCAAAATCTTTTGGTTTGTTTTTTAAAACAAACAAAATTATCTGGATTATTTATTTTAAAATACAATAAGAAGAAATTACTTTTACAATTAAAAGCATCTGGAAATAGTTTGAGTAATCTTGTAATATTCTTGGAACAATCTCAGAATGAGAAATCTTTCACATGTTGACGAGATTTTCGGTTGATTTCACTCCCCATGGTCAGGATTCAGCAGTGACGCGTTTACGTTTTCCTGCAGACGGATGTGTGGGTGAAGGAATCTGAGCGTCAGTGAGCAGAACATGCTCTTCTTGTATTATTACTCCTGTATCCTCTGGAAACTGGTCGAGTCTTAATATAATGTTTACTAATGGCCTGGTTGCACATTTCCCTCGTATTGATCACCAGCCTCACCAGACATTCGTTTGCAGTTCCTCACGTTCGCCATGAATCATAGAAGGGCATTCATCGCTATTCTCACTGTGTGGAAGCCAAATATGTTAATAAAAATTACAATTAGGGCTGCACAATATGGACAACACACTAATATCAGGGTTATAATGCTACATACAGCAACTCGCAATATATTAAGAGCTCAGTGGTGATTGCATAGTGTGTCACCATTGGTATTATTTGAATGAAAATAATTGACATTTGTTGGATTATATGAATACATTGATTCATAAAAACACCCACAGAAGCTCATCTGGAGCTGTGATTGGTCAAGGTGTTCACAGTACCCAGTAAACATACA